GGGGGGGGGTGGGAGGATGGGGGTGCATCCCGAACGGAATGATTAACGCAGAGAATTTGATCCTCCTCTTATGGTCATTAACAGAAACTGGTTATTTAGTTGTGCTATAAAGTATTGTTATGCTGTTATGAACATGCTGAATGCGCTTCATGTTTCGCACAGCCGGTCCCTGAGAACACTCCTGGATACTATAAGGTAAAAACTTGTTGACTTTGAGAATTTTTCAGTTGTGCAATGGTGCATATGTTAAATTTTCAGGTGATCCAGAATCCTATGGATCTTGGTACGATAGCAGCTCAGCTACAAAATTCCAGTGTCACGGGTGCCATGTCAGTTTCTGAATTTATTGAGAAAATGAACACGGTGTTCCGCAACTGCTCCAAATTTAATCCGGTTTGTTCTTGGTCCATTTTTAGGACTTTTTTTTATTACTTCTGCGTTTAGCCTAAATTTTTACAGTTTTGTAAATTTAGTCGACAGTATGATTAGCTCTCAGTTCGGCTCGGTTGTGCCTTATTTGATGATTATTGGTATAGGAGGGCCCATTTTGAATTTTCAAAGATTATCTCGCTTTATCTTTAGGCACATCAAGAATGATGATTATCCATCTTGTATGAGAAAACTTTTTTATGGGTACCTCTCGACTTCTAGGGGAAATGAAAAATGATTTTAGAACCATTTTTCGGAGAAGAACTTCAAAAAAGTCTCTACCCAAACACTCTCTCATCACTTAATTGTGTGTGCCAGAAATAGTTTTATGGTTTACAATACTCTACTAGGTACGAGAGAAAGTTTCTAGATCAGTAACCAAGTGTTATCTGAGGAATTCATTCGCACGCATGTATTTTGAAGTAGAATTCGGGGAAGAAGATTATAACCTTGACTGTTGTAATAATTTTTATAGAAAAATTCGCCTGTCGCTGAGGCTGGACGCAGGGTTTGGCAATCGTACCAGTCGGCTGTCAAAAAGTATTTACCGTCATATACCAAAGATATTTGGTTGTATGTAAGCCTCCATGACCGAAAGGTTAGTCGACGTCTGCGGTTTTTCTTTAGGTGTAGATCGATTTTGATTGATTGCTTTATAGGTATCGCTTCAAAAACGACGGAAAAGGTCTTTGAGTAAAAACGACCTCAAAACGCCCAGGTTGTCGTCAGTTCAGTGACGCGTATAGATCCATTCCTCGCCGTCGGTTAGTTTGATTAACGCTTTCCGCTTGTCAGTGTCTTCTTTTCGAACTGGGCCGATCGTCGCCCAGTGAGAATGTAAGGTAATAGTAGTTGATAACACAGTCAGAGGGATTTATTTAGCGTATCGTTTCAAAAGATTTGGTAAAACTTCTTACCTTTTTCTCGAGTTGTAATCAAAAGTATATCTCAGGTTTCCTCTAGGTGACCGCATCAGCGGCGAAGCAACAGTCTCCTGATGGACTGTAATCAAAGATTTGGTATGAGAGATGGTATAACTTATTTTCTGCGTGTCTGATCTCATGCATCGACGCTTCTTTGTACTTTTTCAAAGCTGATTCCGTGATTTGAGTCTTCACCAAAACATGGAGTTTCTTGGCAATCAGACTATAGAAGGTCTAAGTGGGCCCTCGCTCAGAGTCGCTACATGCAGCCGGCTGAGTAGTCGTGGAGGAATTTGTGCAAACTCGTAGCTGTCTTTTTGTAAGTGTTCGAAGTGGTTATGGTAAACGATACCGTAATCTTTCAGTGGTGACAGCGAGGAAGCTGCAAAAAAGCTTCTGATGTCTGTGAGTTAGCAATAATTAGGCGTCGAGATTGAGCTTTAGTTGGAATTCTTTGCCACGAGTAGTTTTGAGAAAAATAATAAAGCAGGGGATAATCTGAAAGAAACGGACCTTGACCACCGTCGATATCGAGCTTTGCACTTTTTTCGCGATGCTCTGCTATCTGCATAGCCTCGTAATATGAGAAATCTTAGCCAGTAATAATTATTCTTGTGATTGATTTTCTCTCCTATGCAATTTCGTGTCATTTACATTCATGTCACTTGACGACTACTAGATGCCAGTTCTTTGCATTTAAGTTTGTTCTGGTTTGAAAGATGTCGAAAGTAACTGCGGGTAACGTTTTTTCATTTAAAATTTTTCTTTGCGTTATGGCCACGTGTTCGCAATGTTCATTTTATCGATATTGTTGTGATGCTTACACTTCTCTTGCACTTGTATTTTTTTAAGCACCGTTTGTGTTTATAGCTTGTAGTTTAGCCTACAATGGTTTCAGTGGAATTCTGGTTGTAGTACTATTGTACAGGTCCCTTCCCGTTCCCCTATCGACGACGGGTCGTTGGCGACCGTCCATGGCTTTTCCTTTTGAGGATAGAAAATCGTCAACGCTAATTTGATTACAAGCTCTACTTGCAGTGCATGTTTTTTTATGCTTTTAGCGGTGTTGCTGTTGACTAAAGTCAATCTCCTTATCTATATTGTTACGGTTTGAATTTTCTCACCAATACTAATAATAAATCCTCATATTCATGTGTTCTGAGTCGCTTCTTTTTATCTTGTTACAGTTTAGATGGCTTGGTTGGGTGTATTGCAGTAGGAACGAAAGTGTCGCGTCGCGGCGAGGAGACGCCGCGTGCGAAGGAATGTAGGAGAATACAGCAACAAGTAAGAAATACAGGAATAAAAGAACTAAGAGTAGAATCATGCCAAAAGTAGTAATCGCATAGGGATTGAGCTGTATGAAGAAAGTTAGAACTGTTGTAACGAGGCAAATAGTCCGCGACAGCCGCGTGCGGCGGATCGATTACACTAAGCCGTTCCTACTGCCCGTTTCCCGGCTTGGTTTTTTCAAAGCCTCATGTCCCAAAGTCACCCATGCTGGCTTTCGTTTGCAAAAGAAAGTAGCGGCAAGCTATGGCTAACTACTTAGTTACTTAAGATTTATCGTTTATACTTGAAAGAAATAAGTGATGCAGAGATAAGTGTCAGAATTTTACTTACAGCCACTTATAAATTGTACTTCATGATATATAGATGTCCGTTCGGACATATTTCACTTGCTGGCATTCATAATTTCGATGTAAAACAGGCAGCGAAAGCCCCAGAAATCGGAAAAGTGGGCGTAGAAATGTAATGTACTTCAAAAATAACATATACAGGTAAGCAGATTCGAAAAAATATAGCCGCTTATGTGGTCGCTGCACTTTTGCTACTTTTCAGTGGGAGACGGAACTTACGTGCGTCCGAGGATGCGCGCGGCAAATTGCGCGACGAAGTGCGTGGTGATTCGAACGACTCTGGCGCCCATCATTTGGGCTAAAACGTGAGGTAGAGTAGATCATTGGGATCGGCTGACCCTACTAAACTACTCTACTTCAAGTTTGTGCCCCGATAGTAGGCGCCAGAATCGTCCGAATCCCCACGAACTTCGCCGCGCAATTTGACGCGCGCATCCTCGGACGCACGTGCGTACCCATACCCCTTTTAATCGATAATCGTTTAGCAAATGGTAGACTTCCATATTCCTTACCTGAACATCTGAGGTATACTGTACAGTTGATACGGCTATCAGATGAAATAGGAGCCCCCATGATTGCGGCTCAGGAGGGTGCGTATCAGAATTGACATCCACGAAGAATCGCAGTGGCTGCTTTCATAGTTCACTATTTGGCGTGCGACCAACCGCGCGACTGCTCTCTCGGTCGCTCGCTCGACGGCGTTCGCCAAATCGTGGACTATGAAAGCAGCAAGCGGTGTTCACTAGTGTATTCGGCCTCTAGAATGAGTTGCGGGACAGTAAATAGATAGTGCAGCACTTCATTCCCGGCAGGCAAAACGTTCAGTGAAGAAATTGAAAATCTAATTTTCCAGGGCCTATGTCGATCTTGGATCCCGGAAAATAAATATACTGACAACACCTACTCCCGTCACCACACCTTCGCGTGTCTGCCCGTTATTTTTAAGCCGGGACTGCGCTGTGACTTGATTGACATATTGCGAAATCTCGCTGCTACTTTTATGTTTACATTCAAATGTTCCATAATAATCCACGTATATATTTCCGTTTTCACATTCACTTCTATGGATTAGTCCCTCTCAAAAGAATGTCGTAAGAATGGTACCAATTAGCCGGGTCCCGAGAGAATGAAGCACTTGTTCGGTGTCGGCGGATACAGATTTGGGATCCGATCCTCGACCCATGCGTATGTGCAGTCATCTAGTTGCCACTACACAACCTCTATCCTTTTCAAGTGCAATGATTTAGAATTGCAATACATATGCCAACACACCTCAAAATACTTTATCTTAAGTAGCACATTAGTATTCATTGTCTAATTAGTAAATACACATCAAGGAACTGACAGAACAATCTTAAAGCATTGAGAAGTCCGAAAGGTACATGAGATACTGCTAGTGTCAAGATTCAAATCTATTCCTATGAGAATTTAAAATTCTCATTCTCACAACAAAACACAACTCCTAGAGCACAACAATCTAAAAACGACTGCTAGAGACAAATTACAAGACAATCTAGTATGACACTACAAAAAAAAAATATTAATATGAATTGCAGACCACCGGTAGTTCCCCGTGATATCATCTTTGGGCTGTAGATAAACAAAAATAAAGCTCATAACAGACGCGTTTTCCCGTTCCTTTTGTTGAGGATCACTTGCACAACAAACGAAAGGATTGCACTTGAGAGGCACAGGAAACCAGATACGATGAATACTGATTTGTAAGAACCGGTACGATCACGTACATAGCCTGAAATAAAGCATTTCATATCCCTTTCGAAATTTAATTGAACCCAAATTTTAATACTGGATAGGTTCAAAGAAATAATCTGCGTTGGGCCTAGATCAATCAAACCCGAATTGCTCACTGGCTGCTTTCATACTTCGACGTGCGTGCCGGCACGCAGGTGGAACCGCAGGTACAATCTTGCGTGCGGCGTGCGAGCGGCTATGCGACAACGGCGCTATCCAACTGTGTGACAGCAGTGGGTACCGGTCGATACCGCAAATCGAGAGTGACTGCTGTCACACAGTTGGATAGGGCCGTCGTCGCATAGCCGCAGGATTGTACCTACGACTCCACCGGCGTGCCGGCACGCACGTCGAAGTATGAAAGAAGCCACTGATGCGGACCCTTATTTCACCAGCTGAAGACAGCACCGGATACTGTAGTTCGTACTTTCCAAATGAATGCTGCTCTCGAACAACAATGTAACTCGACAACAGAAGGACAAATATTTCCAAAAAATCCAGTATTAGTAACAACCATGTTAAGCTAAGCTTGTGAACCTGGTGGAACTGAACGAGCGTCATAAAGATCCTTATATAAGCTCTATCGCTATGGCTCAAAATGACTAAAACAAGGTGAAATGTAAAGTTAAGCAAATAAAACCAAGGAGCAACCAGCAACTGCTTTTTTACCCCTTACTCGCTTCCCCATATAGTACAAAACCATCTTGAAAATCCACAAATAAGAGCGGTAAAAATTATTCATTTCCACGTCGTCACCATCGTTCATATCCACATAGGAAAAATTCTTCATAAGCCGGGATACCAGGTCATAAGGTCCTATATGGCGATGTAAAGGTAAAAAAATAATCGCTCTTATCTATGGAATTTTTGAGTAAAAGTTTAATCAACACATGATGAAGTAATGTTTGTTGCTCGACGGAACTTGTACACAAGACAGCTTTAACAGAATAACGTAGTTTCAAGCGTAAAAAAACCAACCGATAACTGGAGGTCCAAACAATGTAGCTATTCCTTCGCAAAATGAAGTTAAAGCATATGAACTTTGAAAGTTTCGCATATCCTCCCACATAGTTGTGAGCATAACTGATTGAAGCACATAGTTTGACGAGATAAAGAAGCCGAAACACGCACAAATCAACTAAAATATCAATATTCACTCGTAACCATTTTCTAGAATAATTTCAAGGAATCAAACTGCCTGAAACCCAAGTCCTGATCACTGCAAGCAGTATTTTTTTCCAATTTCAACTAAAGTTTTGATTACAGCTCATCTTCCGCTCGGTAACTAGTGCACGTAGCTCTAGAAGGCTTCTAACCTTTGTGAGATTAATGGCCCCGTTTGAAATTCTGCGCAACTATGAGTCATGCACAAAGTTTACACAGTCGACCACAAAACGGTAAAAAAAAAGTATGTCACAAAGGCGCTCGACAAGGCAAAAGTTTCAGTGCACTTACATGACAAAATTGTCCTACAACACTAAATTCCACGCACACTATCACCTATTACTTACCAAGTTGCACACTTTCGTTAACCTTTTCAAATACATTCAAATTTCAAATAGTTTTCAAATTCAAATTTTTCGCGACAGGGACAAATGCAAACGACTGGCGCCCGCTCGAGAAAGTCGATAATCAAGGGGACTGTAGTTGATGGTCTACAATATGTGCCCTTGCTCAGTGGTCTAGTCAGCTTTGCGTGAATCGATCCGTGTCATTTCACAATGACTAACAATCATGAAGGCAAACTATTGACGTCTTATTCTTCATAAGCTATTGCTGTACTCCTCTCATAAGGTAATTTGTCTAGCGTTAGAGAATATTAATGTCGGCATAGTCTCCTAGGTTAACATCTTTAACGACATGAAATTCTTCAAGATCTGTGAGTATTTAGCACGCAAATCGAACAAAAAACAGTTATCCAAAGGATTAGTTACCACAACAGCAGTTTGGCATCTTTCATAGTCCACGTCCGGTCGCGCGACTGGTCGCGGACCCATCTCACGAGCGACCGGCGACCAATCGCGCGACTGGTCGCTCGACTGATCGCGCGGGACCGTCCACGGCGGCACCCATAACTAGCGTGGCCTCCTCGACCGATCGAGCGACCAGTGGCGCGATCGATCGAGCAACCAGTCGAGCGACCAGTCGCTAGCGACCGGCGACCAGCCGCGCGATCGGTCGCGCGACCGGTCGTGGACTATGAAAGATGCCTTTGAGCGAGTACCACTTCTATGCTGCCTAGTAAAGCCTCATTCAACAAAAGGCATGACCAGAAAGTGCGATAAAAAGTTTGGTCCACAACTTAATTTTTATGTTGCTTTATAATATGGGAAAAGGGACAAGTTTGAGATTTCAATACTACGAGGTAGTCACTTTAAAGATGTAATAATCACATTATATTTCAGGAAACTGACCGGAAAGAAGATGAAATGAAAAAGCGCTTCTGCTGTAACCAGCGATATGATCGAATTACTTTTTGAATTAATATATATTGTTAACGCTATATATAATTTTAGTCAGTACTGTTACATACTGCAGTTAGCACTGATTTGAAAATTACAACTCCAAGTGGAAAAACATCCATTACAAAAATAAATAATAACATACCGCCATTCCTAGCGTATCAGAGACCATCGTTACTATCCACATACACGCTGTTAGACCACACATTGCAATCCCGTAAACAGTAAATAAACGCTAGAAAGAAATAATACAGTCAATCAGCGAAGATAAAAATCAAGATAGCAGAGATACCGATTTAACACAGTTTGCGTCTGATATCACTCCACAAATCCATGTTGAAAGAAGGTTAGCCACCCCGATGATCGATGTTAGCCATGCTGCAGATGTTTCTTCAATCTGAAATATAGAATAATGCCTTTTTTAGAATGCATTTGATCAAATGGACTACTAAGAAAATAAACAGAATAATCAACAAAACATCAACTGACGTGTAAGTTGTCAACTGCAAAGTCGTAGAAGAACACGTATGGAACATCCAACACGAAATAGAGACTCGTGACACTCATCAGAAACCTTCAATTGAAATTCAAATTTCGTTTGTTCTTCAGAAAATCAAAGGATAATAAAGGATGAAATCTTGGGGGCGCCACCCAATGCCGTGTGAGAGGTGCGCCCCTGCATTCGAATTCCATTCAGAATCGTAGTGGCGTATTGGATGCGTATGTGGCCTATACAATGACTTGTGATGGGCAGCCGATGTACAAGCCAGTGCTTTTATCCTCCCGGACGAGTTTGGTACCGATTAACCGACCCCGGAAAGATAGAAGTCTCGGTTGGTCTAGGCGGATATCGATCCGGGATTCAAACCGGTCGAAAGAGAAGCGGAATTATGGACCAAGTGGATAGAGTTATCTTATGATGATAAAGCAAAAAAACTTTTTTCATTACCAGTGACATAAAAGTACAGCTGAATGTGCTGTTGCTCTGCCAACACTGATTGGCCAAGAACTGCCAAACTGCCAAACATTTCTTTCCACAAGTTTACATACTAAAGCGCGAGTGAATCCCATTAAAGCCAAGTATGACTTCGCAGTAAATGCCTCTGCTACTACACCTTTGTCTTGCATGGCGAACTATCGAAGTTTCGAGGGATGGGTTGCGGGAAGGGACATGGATATAGTAAACGAAGTAAATAAACGCCTTACAACTCGTTGAAGAAATATCCGACAAGACCAGTTCGCCTCTACCTCAGATCTGCAAACTGGCCCCTTCTCTTGAATTTAACAGTTATGATTTCCCCTATTTCGCGATATTAGTTCCAAACAAAGGATGTATATAGTGCAAAGCGTCGGCAGAACGACAGGTTGAATGAAATTCAGGTGAAAGTCTTCTCCCTCAGCACAGTTCTACTTCCAACAAAACATTGGAAGCCCATTCATGCACCCAGAACTTCACAAATATCCTGCTCGAAAAAAAAAAAAACTCACAAAACGAAAGATGATTCGCTCACGAGAAGACGATAGAGAACTATCTCTTCGTGGAGCCATCTGACAACCTAAAATTGCAACGCTGAAATCAAGAACTTGTTATCAATATTGACAATTTAAGAATTATCTTAATCACCTCTTTAAGATGCAGTTTTGTAAGAAGATTTTTTCTCTTTTTGCGCACTGCCAAAGTAGGAGCTGACGGTATTTTACCCTGATAAGCGATCAGATTGGAAGGACCGCGGTATCTGAAAAACCCCTTCATGGTAACAAAACTATCAACGCCAATTCGGAATTGCAATCGATTCTTTGAGCGAAGGCAAAAAATGACTACTTTAAGTAACAAGTTGAACAAAAGCTTTAGGCGAAGGATAACGTCAGACCTGGCAACGGCGTTTCCGGCAGGTATACGATTTCCCGTCATGCCCGGGGCCAAAGAAGTTCGCAGAAGACGGGCTGACATTGGAAGCAACGGTTCTTAAAACGAATTAGAATTATACTTTGTACCGTATGCAGTGCAAGTTCGCATCCACATAAAACGATCGAGTTGCCATGCCTACTCAACAAGTAAAAACACCGAGCAAAAGAATAAAAACTCAATTTAAAGGAACTGCTAGCCGTACTAAGTATCACTACTCTTACAACCGAAACTACTTACCTGTTGTAGCGAACTCTAACTTCGGCAAACCATTCAAAACAGGTCCGTTGGTGTTACCATTGATGTTGACGTTATTAATAGCTTTGTTCTGCAAACAGAAAGCACAATGTAAACATTTTAAAAATGAATGACTGCAAATTCACCATATAATTAGAATAGCTTAGCAGAAAAGCGGTTAATAGAGTGTTGAAGTAGCGACCGCTCAAAATCCACATAAAATCCAGGACAAAACCAGCAGGCTAGTCAGGAAGAAGATGAGAAACAAACCTTGTTCAAACACGTGTCCGACAAGTCTGAACTAGAAGAGTCCCCATCGTTCGACATTTCCGAATCCGATTCGCTATCATCGTTTTCCAAAGGCTCTTCACTGCTGGTTTCGTTACCCAGCGTCCTTGAAACATGAATATTGTAGGAGAAAAAAAAAGTCCGAGATTTTCTTAAACTGAGAACTGAATGAATGCTGAGAGAACTTGAAAATGGCTGCATTAGGACCGTCTGCTCACAACAAAACAGTTTAGCAGTAGTATCTTAAACCTAGCAATTAACCGGGGAGACGGGCAGTAGGAACGGTTCTGTAATCGATTCGCCGCACGCAGCTGTCGCGGACCATTCGTACGCCGTTATTACGGCTTTAGCGTTCTTCATACAGCTCAATCGATATGCGGTCCTTATTTTAAGCATGAATCTACTTATGGTTCCTGTTTTCTTTACCTGCTGCTGCATTCTGCTGAACTCCTTCGCGCGGGGCGTCCCTCTCACCGCGACGCGGCAGTTTCGTTCCTACTGCACCACACCCCAATTAATAGCTACAACGAACCTAAAACTCAAGTAAAGGCCAAGGAGGACAAGAGAAAAGGAACCGCAGAATGATGTTGAGCAAGATCAAAACAGCGAATTTCACATGGAAGCAGAAGTTACGAGTAACCAAGTAGATGATAAATGCTCAACATGTCACCAGAACACAATCCTACACGACCCCTATGACCCTTTATCCGACTGAATCTCTTTGCCATAATAGGTCAACTTAAACTCCCTTCCCGACCGCTTGGGATAAATGCGATTTGGCGCTAACTTTAAAAACAACTATTCTTCTACGCCTCCTTACTAACAGTGCGGAAGTTGGTGAAAGTCACAACGAAGTATATCCATCTAGGAGCCCAACTTAGAAGTTAACAGTAACTCCAACGTTCTTCTGTGGCGATAGCTTAGAATATTGAAATCTGACTTACATTTTAATCAATGGATGTTCACTGTCATGTTCGATGTTGTCGATAGCATCCATACTCAGTGCAGTCTTATTTGGCAATCTATTCTTTGACTTGCAGTGAACGGTAGTACAAGGTGAGTTGTCTAACTGAAAAGGATAAAAATCTAGCAAATAGACTAACAGTTAAACTAGATACTCACATGTAAGTTAAGATGTTCGAGATGCTTGAGTTGACCCCCCAGTAAGGAAAATTCAGGAACTGGAGGCAAGTCTACCGTTTGTTGTCGGTTCATAAACGTTCCTACAGATCGTGATCGTGTTGGATGATCTTGAAGAGTCGTCACAGCATCTTTAACTTCCTGAAGATTTTTTCTTTAGATCCGGTGGTTAATACTGATTACTCATTCGATGCTATTTAGTTCTTGTTCAAGTTTATTTGATTTAAAAGTACTACGCGCGGTTTTTTCTAATGTAAAAAGGCCAGAAAAACTTGATGTGAGTTCAGTTCCCGTCTTTGACCGAAATTTTGTTCATTTTTCGTTGATAGTAAGGTTTGTTTGAAAGTCAATTGGTCTGGCTAGCAATGTACTGTCTGTCACGGGTCAAATAGCAAGGAGATGCCTATTAAATTGTCCGAGCTTCCTGGTTCCCATCCCTTTCTCCCTGGGGTCGATGCCCCGCCATGTACCAAGCTCATCTGGAAAAACTAAAACAACGACTTGTACATCTGCCAGCCTCCAAAAGCCAGGGTGCAGGCCAAATACGCATCCAAACACAATTAATAACAAAAAAAGACAGTCTTTGGCTTAAATCCGATCTTGGGATGCGCCCACGCATTCGAATTCCATTGCGAATCGTCCTAGCCGTCGGTATGGGTACGTATTTGGCCATACAATGTCTTGCGGTGGTCAACCGATGTACAAGTCAGTGATTTTATACACCCAGGCGAGCCTGGTACCAAGTAATCAAACCCGGAGGGATAGAAGCTTGGTTGGCCCAGGCGAGAATCGCTCCCGGGTTCGATTCTCAGACCATGCGTGCGTGACAGTGCGCCAATTGCTACCATATCACATACCAAATGAGTAGATTCATTTTGAAAACGGACTGTAATAAACGGCAAACTCAATTCTTTCACCCTTGTGAAGCGCGTAGCGTAAACATCCCCTTACAACCACCTACATGCTAGATATCATTCGTTGCATATCCCTTAGTATACCTTGTTCAACAGCCTCGATGGCTAAAACGTTTAGCGCGGGTCCCCCACAGGATTTTCGCCTGAATGGGTAATTTCGCCCCTGCCAGGTTCGGTGTGAAATTGCAGTACTGAATGGAAGTGCAACAACAACCACCTTTTTCCCAACTTTGTGGGGTTAGTACAGCCTAGTACAACATTGGCACAATTACGAAGACCGGCAATTCGAGTAAGCCAACACTTCAGCGATTACGAGTTAAGTATTCAATTACTTGCCTCTCAAGCTATGCAAAAAGTCAGTGTTCATTCAGGTAAGTTGGCATAAGTGGTATGGGTATGTAAAAACGGAAAAAAAANAAAAAAAACATTGGAATCACTCGTTCAAATAAAGTGCTTATGAAAAAAGTAACCAAGTAACTTACCTCGACATTGAAATCTAGCTTATTCATAAACGGTCTGAAATATGATGGCATTGATGGCAGAGAACAAGCGCGACGAGGTTCCACATCTTGATACTGAAAACCAGCTATTTTTAGATGATTATTTAAGTTTAATACTGACACCGCAATAGCACCGACACAAGCTGATCTACTTTTCTCATTTCCATCTCATTACTGACCTTAACCAAATTTCAAATAAACTACAACTCTAGGAATGTTGACATTACGGACACTCATCTGACATCTACCATGCCGTAAGTGTTAAGTACTAAATGGTTATCAAGACAAGGGGCAAAGTTGGGGCATTCTATGTTGGAAAAGCAATGTAAAACTCACAGCCGGATCGAACATAGCCACAAGGGTGTACAACTAGGAAAAATAAAAGAAGTCATAGAAACATAGACGTTTTGCGGAGAAAAGTAAATTAGGATAAATAATACGGGCTATTAGAACTAAAAATCAAATCGAATCGCTGAGAATTCATCAAGATTCGTATATGCATACGTCTAGGCACATAATACTGAAGGACTTCCTCGCTGAGGAGAAAAAAAAAACTTGGTAAACTGGTAGAATTATAATGTAGAGAAACCTATGAAGAGGCCCTGAACGCTACAAGGAAAGCTATTTGCTGAAAACCTGTTCATGGAATGTACATGAAGGAGAACCATGGCCAGTATCATATCATATTCGGTATCCTCACCATTATGCCGTGTTTTACGAAACCTCTACCCTACTAGTAGTTTTCTACTCCTCGCTGTTCCTTTACTACAGTATACACCGGTTGTGTCAAAGTTAACTGGCAGTATTGTGCTTGATTACTGAGGAACCCCTAGTGAAAAAAAGTAAAGGGAAGGTATAGTTGAGTACGAAGGACAACTAACCATTCGACCACATTCTTGATTTTTCATGCTTTCTTCGTCTTCTCGCAATTTCTTCAACCTCCTATGGAACACTTTCATCTTAAATATGTATTTAATAATCTTGGACAACTAGTAATATCCGTAGGAGATAGTGTTCAAGCGAACCTTATACTCTGGTGTATCACTTTGCCATTCCACATCTCTAACTATTAGTCCAATAAATATGATAATAGAGAGAACGAGCGAAATTGCTATGATTGCTGGACCAATATCAGTACCTGTTTCCGGCACAAACTGAAACCAAGTACATCAGGTCCAATCTGGAAACGTCCATTCCGCGCGTCCGTCGAAACTACTTCACCGCGCCCACTTCGCGCGCGGCCCAAAATAAGTGCGACGACCGTTGGGAGTCGCGGACTTGCGCGCCGCGTGCGGCGACTGCGGCGTGACCTAATTCGACGGGCACGCGGTCCAATCAGACTACAACAATTGTCAAACTTTTTCAATTGATAAAAAAACTTACATGCTTCAGAAACACTGGAAACACTATCGTTCCAACACCAGTACCAGAAACTGCTAAAGCCGTGGCTACACCTCTTCTCAGTTCAAAATTATACGTGACAATGACGATGGCAGCATTGTAGACTAATGAAAGTCCTATAAGAGTATATGAAAGTTACAAAATAACAAGAAATTGATGAGGGAAAAGTTTTGCACATCACTAAGCCTTTCAAATGCTGTATAAACTTGAAATCAACGCTCACCTACTCCTATTAATCCTCCAAAACACAAGGTAAACATCAAAATTGACTGACAAAAATACGACGTCACCGCTCCAGCACAGCAGAAGATTCCCCCAATCAAAATTGTCCTTCTGGAATAATGCATATTTTTAGGAATAGTACATGAATTAGATAAATAACTCCAATCACTTAGCATGCACTCTGCAAAAATTTTCTCAAAAGAATTTCAAGTGCTAATTTCCCCGTTTCAGGGAACTCCCTCGCAATCAATCCCCTTTCAGAATCGTGACGACGGCTGAATGCGACTTTGTGCTTTATAACAAGTGAGGGGGGATTTCAGACGCCGCCAATGCCTCTGTATTCTCAGACGTGCTGTGTGTCAAGTTAAGAGGATTGGAGAGGGTAGGCTCCAATCAAGGATTCGATACCCGGACCATATTTGCCACATCGCAACATTGTGCATTCGCAATAGCAGATGTCATTCCTCAACACAACTTATTAACTAAAATTGCTAGGACTGAATTATTTTCATCTCAATCTGAGTTGAACTAAATTCTTCGCTTTAAATGACCCCTGCTCAGGATGCATCCCCACATTGGACTTCCATTCAGAGACGCACGGGCTTTTTGAGTGCGTTCATGGCTCCACAATGGCTTGTTAAGACTAGCAGAGTCAGTGTTCATCCCAGACGAGTCTGGTACTAATTACCAGACCCAAAAGAATAGACCGCCTCGTTGGCCTGAGCGGATAGCTAGATGAAGAAATCCGCGATTTTATCCATCTAAGCCCAATCCAATATGATTTTGGTCCCTTGACAGGATAACTCGCAAAGTCGCCACGATTATGCTAGTTTCCCTCGCAACCGGAATCGAATATTCATATGGAATAACGACGGCTTAGTCAAATAGGGCTTCACCAGGCAACCAACGCGAGAATTAGTATCTAATATGGCTTCACTCGCAAAAATCCATCTCCTAACACCAAATGCTTTTCTCAGTAATCGCATAATCCAAAGACTACGACAAAAACAAACATCATTCCGAAAAATGAATACCAAAGGCGTCAGAAATTCCAGAGAGAACGATCATATTATCAGAGAAACAATCTATTTTCCAAAAAAAAATTAACCCACTTGCAATCGCAGACGTCAGTAATGAAGCCAGCAATTGGTCCCAATAGTAATGGAAGAGAAAGGAATAAGGACGCCACAGAACTTGCTCCAAAACGCTTTGCCCCAAATCGCTGAACAATTACTATTTGAATTATCTGCTCTACTAAGTAGTAAGTCTGCATAAAATGTACTGTACCTCTTGAATTTTGGGAAATAATACACCGAAACTGAATGACAGACCGTCAGCAATAAAATGAAGGACAAAACTGAACCCGACCACAATCCAGCCATATCTACAAAAAGGATATAAGAAATATATAAGCACAGCAGGTAGTATGCTTATCGATTTCCGAAAATTACAACTCAAAGATCAGCTGCCAAAATGATTTCATGACGAGCAAAGTCTACGAAAAACAGCAGTCGCACTGAAATCTTACCCTCCATTGAGATATTTCGGTTTTTCAGTTAAACTGCTGTCAGTTGAAGATGTATCTGATGAGTCAGCTAAAATAACAATAGTCAACACAAAGAGGTTTGAATAGGACGGAAAAANAAAAACGGTACCGATTGAATCCTTCGATTTGAAGTGTACAGCTCTAGGAGCTTGATTCGCTGCCGGCACATACCCAGGTTGCTAGAAAAGGGGATTTCAAATAAACAGAAGGAAAAACTGGTGTGATGCAATTCGAGGTGTTTTTATGATAAACAAGAACGACCGCTATGACTAAGCTCAAGCCTTTTCAGCATAGAATCGAGCGGGCGAACAACTTATAAGGAAAAACTCGTCCGCAAAAGCCCATGTATAGCTAGTGCTAGTGAAATGGCTACACTTTTTCCATTAAATTGGTAATTATGTAATTGCCAACCTAATGAAAAAGTCAACCTAATAAAAAAACTAAAGAGTAATGTTTTGAAAAACACAATCCTCCAGGGTATCTTGTCCACAGAAATAAATCACCTTGAAGATCAGGTAATTACCCTATAAAACAAATGCTTGGGGTAATTAAAACTATAAACAATTACCTGATGCTAAATTAGTTTTTATGAGTTCAACTACTAGGTCCCTTCCTTGCAAACATTAGGATGTAGCGCCGGAGGAAAAAACAGAGAGAAGATTTCAATGTGAATAAGAGGCTTTACAGAACTGTTCGCTACTTTTTTATTTTATCATCACACTTCATTTTACGGTTTTATTAGCTTTAAAATCAATACCATGGAAACCTTCTTCTTGGAACCCGTTTGTTGACTTTTTCTTTTGGCACTTACAGTACACTATCGGAGACATTCAACCCAAGTTCGCTTGCCAATGGAGTTCGCAATGGGAAACCGAAAAATCCAACTACGGGACGAGTTTCGCAATGTCATGCAAGTTGAGGGATATGAAAGCCATTTCGTCGAAGTATCCAAGAAGGACAAAAGCCCAATAGAAGTCTTGGTCGAAATTCAACATCAAAGAGCCGTCCAACCTAGCCGTGGGTAACATTACCCAACTTAAAAGGCAACTAACTCCTTTCTCATGAATGCTCGAAACAGTTTCCGACCATGGGAATCCCATGAACCGAAGCGATTGATAACCTAATACAGGCCATAGGTCGAGTTGTCCTGCCACGATCCATTAGAATAGAGCGCAGAAACTCGATTAGTCACTTAACCAACGGACCGAGAATTGTCCAATTTTTTTCTAGGACAAATGGAAGAAGGATGGAATAACACTCCTCGGGAACAATGTAATGGAAATGCTTCACTCTCATGAGAAATAAAGTAAAAGAAACGGTAAGCAAATTGCACCGTAAAGGGGGGATAAAAATAAAAAAAAAACCTCACCTGATTAGATGTGAGCCAAAATGCGATGAAATCATCATTACGCAAACGATCGCGTGCGGAGGAATAACGTCGACCTTCTTTTTTCATCTAAAAAAAACGCTACAGATACTCATAAACATTCCCGAACGTGTCACAGACCACTTTTATTTAGCCCACGCGCACGATTCAGAACCCAAAGTAGTTAATAGCAGTACTGGGGCACGCCCGAATAGCTTTTGTTATCTACGATGAAGCAGAAAATCAATGATGGAAAGAAAAGTGGGAGGGTAGGAAAGAGTTCAGATGAATCGTCTGATGATAATATTGATGACACACAGAGTAGACCCAAACTAAGTGTGACGATCTCACCGGGACAAAATGTAGTAATGACATAACTTACCTCGATTTGTGGTTGAGAAACTACTGCTACAGGAAGAGATTACCATAACAACAGCCGTTTCGGTGAAGTAAAAAGGGAATCTGCAAGAAACTTGTATGTTTTGGTTTCGTAAAATACACTTGAAACGACGATATGTCAACAAACGTGTGTCAACACACACATGAAAAGGCATGCCAGTTCTGGGGTTAGCTCAGGCAAATTCTGCAAAAAAAACTTTACATTTCATCTACAAAGTAAAAAACAAGTACAGAAACACAGCAGTTCCCTGAAAGGCCCCAACAATTGAGCTTCTTTTCAGCAGGAGAAAATGTCGATTAGATACACGTGAAGAGACGCGACGCTATGGAAGCTCCCAGTGGGTGTCAAGCGATGACGATGGGGACGGGAGTTCCCAGTATTCCACACCCACTTCTTAATGTACTCCATAAAATTGCCTAGGGTTACAAAGAACTGGAAAGTTCTACAACTTTATAATACCAGTTTGTATACGAACATTTCAATGGATGTGACACTGCCAAATAGTGCACTTGGGTTCCGGCGATTAAATCTTGGACCGACGCCGAGCTTACCAACCCCTCCAAGTCGTTCAGTTGAATTACCGGGATCGTCTTAATTGAGCAAAGTACTGAATTGTACTGCACCTAAATCGGCTAGCCCTCACAAACCATTGTTAGGCGATAAGCTTTCACATACCCCTACAAATCTGAATGGTTGTCGAAGGCATGGATAATTCCCAAGACGAAATTGAGCTATCGAGACTATCTAAACACTGTTCCTTAATTCAGAAAAACTATACTGTATTTTACTCACAACTAAATAAATAAACTGATTTAAATGAATGAGGTGGGGAGGGGAGGGAGGAAGATGGAAGTGAGGGGCTGGGAGGAGGTCTCACAACCGTAAAATCGATACCCATGAATTTCCAAATTTAGCAGACCTATCGTATCAGACAAACTCCTCCCAGACGAAGGAGATAAGAAATTAACATCTCTTGTTTGTCCCCTACCATAGAAACCCTACGAAAAAGGCAGCGGTATCATCTAATCGCACTAATTACATTTACTGATCATGTTCACTTATCGCCAAGATTCCCAGGGAACAGCCCCAAAGATAGTCTCTGAAGTTGTCGCATAGGATAGAATGGCCTTTGGAAACATCACGAGGAGGTGAAGATATTTTTGGCAAACCGATTTCCCTGAAGTCTTATCAAGCAAGTTTTTCACCGTCTTGTACTTCACAGTCGGCGGTTAGTTGACTCAGTGATTCATTGCGTCGATGGTTATTCAACTTTTCTTTCCTCAACCAAGGCAATAGGGAAAGACCTATTCTGCAACAGCTAAAGTTAAACCTGCACCTTTTTCAAAGGCCATGAACGACTCAGTCCACAGAAGGACCGTCATATTCATGAGATTCTAACCAGTAGCACATCAGGAAGTGAGGTTAGTCAATAATGCGTACGAGTTCCAGTATAAGGTCAGCCTTTTTCACGAATCTCTGAACAGAAGGTATGGTATGCTTCATCTCCTTCGAGCGAGTGGACTAAACTGGCTCGCAACAGGGACGAATGAAGACGTTATTGGCGCCCGCTCGAGCCAATCGATGATCATGGAGACAATACGTGACCATCATCGGGACGACAGGTGATCAGATGACGCAAGTGATAAACGATTAGAAATAAAGAGAACAATCCCCCTTAACCTTACCTGAAATAGTAAGAAATTGATAGGTAAGGTGGTTGAACATACCTCCACGGTCGCAAGATTAATTCCCACCCTCACAAGGTCCCTTCCCCCCTCCAGACTCGTTCTGTTAGAATTATTTAATAAAAAGATGTATTTATATGAGAGGTTGGATGGAACTTGTACGAATACGGTCTGTCTAATTGTAAGAGAGTCCCTTCAAAGGCCAGTATGCCTTTAGGACTTCGACTGGGACGATGCGACACATACACAGGAACTGAAATTTGCAGGCGCATTATATTTATGGGCTCTTGAGGACGTCATTTCCTGCCTACGATAAACTTGTAAGTAATCCAAACGCCATTTGAATTATGGATTTCGCTGCGTCAACATCCTTTCCAACTTCATTCCTCGCGATCCTCCTACGGGGCTATTTGTAGCTCGTAAGAGCCCCAACCTACGCAAGATTATCGCAGATAACCACATCATTTTAATGGTGGGATGTCGGAGTCTGTGAAATCAAATCGCGAGAAGATTAAATAAACATAATCAAACACCAACGTGCTCTACTCGAGAAATTTCCGCTGGTTAATTGAAAGACAAGTCTAGTGGAGTTCGAGAGGCAAGTCAAGAAAGCTGACCAAACTACGGTAAACATGTTTTTTAAAATAAGGAGCAGCTGTTAGGAATGTACTTTAACACAGCCCAGACGGGGAAGAACCGTGTCTGAGGGGTATTGGCCAAGTTATTAGCAGAGGAAGACTCGGAAGGCATCAAAATGGAACGGCACGTGCCAGGAAATAACAATCATGATTCAGTGTTTTCCGTACCCATTACCGGAAGCAGATAACTTTGCAACGATAAGGAAGATGGAATTGCTTCAGCTAGAAATTATTCCGTGTCTTGCTTTACATCCCATCGACCATGTCAAAGGAAGAATCACCGCGCAGGAAAAGTGTCTCAGGTGGTTGACAGCATGAACAGCACGATTATTGATTAGCTGCGCACGATTACGACGACTGCCTTGGAGGGAATGTATAGTTCGAGTATAAAGAAGAATCATCGTGTAGGAAAGGTCCGTCAATGGTGGTTGACAGGACGAAAAGCACGATTATCGATTAGCTGCGCACGATAACGATGACTGCGTTGGAGGGAATGTACAGTTTGAAAATAAGGACGAATCATCGTGTAAGAAAGAGCCGTCTATGGTGGTTGACAGGACGAAAAGCACGATTATTGATTAGCTGCGCACGATTACGCGATGTCTACGTCAAAGGGAATAATCATGCAGTTTGAAATCCTTTGCTCAGTCACTAGTTCATTCTACATCAGAAACTCAATTCAATCAGGAACGGCAGAGGGCCATCAAACTTCATGGCGATTATGTGAAGTTATACTGGTACATACAAGGGAAGCAGTAATTAGATTTCGGTAAAACAAATGCGTCAAAAAGCGAATCGAAGAACTTGAGATAAAAGCAATGTGTTCTCCATAGTGGCATGTAAACACAATTCAAAATCAAGTAAACAAGTTTGCATGAAAGGGAACACAACTGGAAGTGACACATTTTCAGCAAAGTTCGTCGCTGGATACTAGGAAAGAAATGATTTTTTTATTTTCCTCTTTATCCAATTATGTCACGAAAAGTCTCACTATGTCCTATCATAACTTCATGTTCATTCATCTTTCACCCGATGCATTTCTGACCCTGATTTTCAGGCTTCTTCTTCAAAACTGTAGCGCTCAAGAGATGCAAACTGTAAAAAAACAATTAAGGATAAATCTGAAGCAAATCAGTACTGATACTAGTAAGCTTCGTAGTCCCGAAAGCACTAAACATTATTCATGAATCTTAAGAAAAGTAAAACAAGGGCAAATGCACCGATCAAGACACTTCTGAGAAAAAATGAAAATGTTTACACAACTTTACACCTCGACTCCATTAGTTAGAGGAAAACAGTGGATGTGAGAGGTGAAACATTTGAAACCAACAAAAACTTCACAAGATTCCGCCGTGATTTGTAAATAAATTACCGGAAAACAGTTGGAAACGAGTTGAAACGCACGGGAAGCCAGCAATACTGAGGGCAGCATTTCCACGCGGGACCCGAGCGCAGGCGGCATCAACAAAGCTACACACTTTCTCTAATTTAATTAGTTACAACAAGCAAGTTTTGTTCATGGTCTCTAAAATATCCTGGACTAGAGAAACATAGCAATGAAAGAATTAATGTGTGTTTAGGAGATTTCCAGTCTCTCCCAATAACCTTGGGCTGGTTCATTAGAGCGCGTTTGAGGTGGCAAATCGCTTCGGGAAATGGATAGTTCTAGCGGCATGTAGATTCAGTGGTTTGTATAAGCAAAATGATGGGTCTTCAATCATATCTAATTGTCAATTTATTTACACATCAATATATCATGTTTACACATTTACATGTTATATTATATTTATTTGTTTATTTACATTGTTATATGTCACCGAACGCACGGGTGCATAATTACAGGGAAGGCGAATGATCCTTAGTCAGGTCCAGTCAGGAGCTAGTCAGAACATCCATCTAGGAAGGTCTTCGGATTGACGATCAGGGACTGGAGTTCACAGAGGATAAGTCTGGGTGGGTAACAGCAAAGAAGTAGGCGTTTGATCCTGGGCAACGTGTCCGACTACGGTTATTCCCTAGCAGCCCAATAGGTGACCATTGATCTGAGCAGGAGGGTAATGGTGTCACACTCACGGATTTTCCCAAGTACTTCTCGAACTTCACTCAATTATCAAGTAGCGCAGTGGGATATGTTCTCCTACGAGGATCTCCTGAGAGACTATTGGCAAAAAGCGTGAAATCGATACCATCTTCGGACAGTAATGTGGGTGTTCATCCACGGATTGTTGCTTGGATAAAAAACTTCCTAGAGAATCGCACCTTCCAAGTGATGCTCAATGGCAATCTATCTTTGGTTCGAGATGCTCCCTCTGGTGTTCCCCAGGGAGGTGTTTTATCTCCACTTCTCTTTGCTATTTATGTGTATGG